AGGTCGCGGGATCAAATCCCGGCTGTGGCGGCTGCGTTTCCGATGGAGGCGGAAATGCTGTAGGCCCGTGTGCTCAAGATTTGGGTGCACGTTGAAGAACCCCAGGTGGTCGAAATTGCCGGAGCCCTCCACTACGGCGTCTCTCGTAACCATATGGTGGTTTTGGGACGTTAAACCCCACATATCAATCAATCAATCCGTCAAAGTTTTTAAATTTATAAACAGGACAATCAGCCGAAAGTGCCAACGTTGGCTTATCTGCTTGTTTATCTATCGCGCGCGCTTCTTCCGAATACGCACGCAGCTTTCTTCCGAGCGCGACCGTAATATACATTTGACATAAAACTCGCCACACGTTTCATTCTTTTTCGTTATCTGGCTCTCGGCGGGCCGCCGGGCAGCAGGAAGGTTGCGGCAGCACAATGCGGATAATGAGACGAGAGAGGGGGAAGAGAGAGGGGGAAGAGAGGGGGGGGGGTGGCCGGAAAATGAATAGGCCCGGCACGCACAGCCCTCGGCGTGGTGTCCGGCACAGCGAGTAGTATCGGGTGACGAAGTTTCATCGTACAATGAAACGACGGGAAAACCCAGGGCGATTTCTTTGCCGTGTCTGTCTATGCGCCCCTTTTTTTTTTCTTGGTTCCGACGCCCACGTAGCCGCAGCTTCCCGCTGTTGCCGGTCAACGAGAGAAGCGAGTGAAGTGGCTGTCGGACAGAATTTCGTACGTCACAATTACCTGCGCTTCGAATTTAGTTTTCACCAAATTCATTGCTCAGGTATGCTTGACTGTAACGCAAACAGCGAAAGGGCAGACTGATGGGCTATTTCATACTTTTCGTACTTTAGACGCACCCTACAGCCTCGCCACACCCGAACTCCCTAACCTTTTTTTTTTCTCCCTGTTTTTTTTTTTCGTTGCACTCATGCGTCCGAACCAAAAGTTGCACACCGTTCACCTTCTCTCGCCGAGAAAAACCGCGCCACGTGGCGTCACAAGCTCCGAATTCTACATGCGGACCGCGTAAGGCGACCAGCCGACGTGGAAGATAGCATAACGGACAAGCAGCCGACACGTCGTCTTCTTTTACAGCTGCTAAGACCGACTAGCTGTACAAGTTTTCGACAAGGTCACTCGTTAACACATCAAATGAAACATTAAAAAATAATAAAGAACAATAAAGTGAGAAGAAAGACGGTCTTCATATAGCACTTTACCCGCGGCACGTTTTCCTCCAAGGTCCGTGTACGAAATGTCGCCGTGGCGCGTTGCCGGCGACGTATAGCATGCTACACACGGAATCGTGGTATGGGGTACACGATTTTACGACCACGGAGCCCCCCGCCGCCATCACATATTTCACAGAATCGCCACGGAATCTGCGCAAAATGTTCTCAAAGCGTGCCCTTCAAAGAGGGAAAGGAAAGTGAGGCACAAAATATCGTCGCGCATCATACACCGTGCTCAGCTTTTGCGACGTTTTTTTTTTCCTTCAACGGGTTTCCCTTCGTAGTATGCAAATAAATGGTGCGACCACGAATGTCTCCGCTAATTACGGGTGGCCTTGATTAGCTCGCGCGCACGCGCTAAATAAAGTTAACGCGTAATAAGAGTTTGACCACAGGTGCGGCCCTTAGATTACCAGCATGCATGAGATCTATGAGTTTAATGTTTCGTTGTGCCGTTTTGACACCCAGATACACTAAGATCGGTAAGATCGGTTACCACAACAGTTAAGCAAACGCAATAGATCAAACAAAACCACGTGACAAACTTGGATATGTATGATCCCGTACAACGTAAAAGGAAACATCAAACCATTAATAAAAACAAGTTCACTAAATAATATATGTATACTCCTATCGGTGACAAAAAAAAAAAAAACTACTGATGCAAGAAATCGGAGAACACGTGAAAGTTATCTCCACGTCCTTGCGACACATCTCGCCGTTATGCAATGCTATAAACCGAAACTATGCATTCTGTTCCCGTTAAGAAAGCACCAGACTACACCCGCGGGCACCAGGCGACCCACACTTCGATATGAACGAACGGGCGAGCTAGCGAGCAAAGCAATATATAAATCAAGGACCCTTTTCTTAAGAAAGAAGTAAAACGACTAACAACCCAGAAGACTACATACAGTAAGCACAGCCACGGCGTGTAGTAGTAGCATCCAAAAGTGCGATCCGGGGCAGGAGGCACAGGGCAGTCCCACTCGAAGACGGCAAGTGCAGTAAGTAGTCTTCGTTGGTGTCTCACGACGTCTGGGCTCCGTGGCGTCGCCGTCACGATCACACACGCGCGCGAAGTGCAGTGAGGTGACGTTTCGAAAAGGGGAGAGGGTGAGTGGGTGAAGTGTGAAGGGTGCCACCACAAAACCATCGTCGTCCATTACCTATCCACAGGACGACGGGTCGAGCAACGACGACTTTAATCCCAGGGGCGTGTCACACTCACGCAGTGTAGTAAACGCAAGAAACTCAGAATAAAACTCCAGTGGGTGGGTGAGTGGTAAACCAAACAGCGGTAATCCTGGGGTGATGACATCCATCCGCGGAACTGATGTAGGAGGAGGAAAAGGATCATGGGAGGGGTGTTCAGGAAAAGGGGCGTTGGGTGATCACCACGTCGGCCGGACGATAATCCGTATCCGTGGCTGCAGCGACGACTGATGCACTGTCACACCGGCGCGCGACTTTTCGAGGCCTCCTTCTAGAGACCCAAGCCTCATCGAGCACTGCGGGGTAAAACACACTTCCTGCGGGTACAACACACGCCTTGGCCGAAGTCGTCAGTCAAGTTATCCGAAGGGGTGGAAAGGGACACAGTCGCACGTGGTCGCTGGTGATGCGGGTATCCTCTCCTCGGCATGAGAAAGAGGCAGCACTCCAGTCAAGGTTCTCAACTCGCTTCCTCTGGGGTCACGACATCGTCGACAGAACACCCCAGCACCACAAGGCACACACCACCACACTGTACATTCACCTCGACATGCGGGAACACTGCATCGGCTCTTTAAAGCACTATTCTTTAACCGGAAAGTGTTTTATGAAAGGGGTCCACCAATCATTGATCACCCGTCATTTCAGTCACGGAAGTGACGTCAATGAAAATGAACGTCGACTGTATCGTTTAAATAAGCAGGCTAGCTCGCTCAGTTCGTTCATATTTCTTGTGACATCAGATAACACCAGCTCAGAGGGAAGCGCCTTACGAGTCATAAAAAAAAAAACTAATTTTGTTGCTGATATCACCTAAATGTTCAAGATACGGGGAGTTACGCCAGAAAATACGAACGCACAGTGCTCAATAGTTGCGTCTGCGCTTGCTCGAGCAAATTAAACAGTAATAAAAAGAATAAGATATGTTACCAGTTTCGACAAGCGCCCAGCCTAACCAATCACCACGGAGCGACGGAATCTTTATTCATGCAGCCTGGTAAATGTTGGTTGCGGTTGGGTAGACATTATATCAAAAAGCCACACTCCAGCGCGCGCCATGCTCTGCAAGCATTTACTTGCCCGATGACTTGTAACTGACTAATCATGTAGCAGAGCTAATGTACACACTTCCGAACAACGCTAATGTACGTAGAAGACTGGAACTCACAAATAACATAAGTGCAGCCAAACGGCATCGCCCAATCATTCCTGATGTATGCAACACCTTTCAATGACAAATGCCCCAAGGCATCTGCAATCTGCGCACAGATTACGGCTGTAACGAACATTCTAAACGAGCAACGTGTACCATAGAGCACAAAAGACACCTCTTTCAGCGCTGGACTTCCAAAGTAAGAGAAAGAGATAGCGATGATAATGTAACCGAGTCATCTTCAAGGAAGTGGTAAACTTCAAGGATGCTTCACACAGTCGTGAAACGAATCGGCAAGGATAGCTTCGTCGCCTCCGTCCAAGGTCGACAGCTGCGCAGGTTGATCGAATGCCAAACTCAGAAAAAAGAAAAAGATAAGGACAAACAGTGCGTGCCCACACACAGGCTTGCATACCTCCCCCCACTGTACACGAACGGTCGCCAGTTACTTTAAGCTGTCTCTGCTTGGAACTACGTTATAAATATGCCACATTTCGCGCGGGAGAGCGTAAGTACAACCTACGAGCAGGTTGCAACAGACTGCAGGATAAATGAGAAGCTATGCTAACAGCATTGCGCAGACGACCACATTCATCTAGGCTACATGCTCTCAAAACTCATCAGCCCAGAAGTCCATACGGGCCTATCTGCAATACCATCAGGCGACCGGCTGATGAGCGACGGAGTGTAGTCTCTCTCTCAATCCCAATTTTCCTTATACGTGTAGGGCAGCAAAATGGACAAAGTCTTGTTATCCCCATTGCATTTGAATTCAGTTTTTTTTTCTTTTCAATTTCCTCTGCTGCGCTAAAGTTCTAGTAGGGGCCGGAACAACTGGCACCGCTCGACCGATAGACTCCGAGATCAAGAGGCGTTTCGCGACTTTTCCGCTAGGGGAAGGGCGCATTCACCGAGGTGTCGTGAAAAAAGAATGGGTTCCAGACAGGGTTTGAACGGTGCATACCGTACCAGAAAACAGTGAAGACAGGATATCCACACAGAAAAAAAAACAAACAGCATTTGCGTGCAACACGGTAGAGTGTATGCGCGGTATACGTATACTGCAACAGGCAACCGCAGCAGACGATCGAGACGGCGAAAGCAGTCGCCGCAACGGTTATGCTTAAACCAGCGAGATCACGCAGTTCAAACGTTACACACTCTATCACAAAACAGCGACGACCGCTTTGCCGATACAAAAAAAAAGAAGAAAAGACGGAATGTACGTCTAACACGCCAACCGTGTTTGCGCACTGCATACTGCAGAAGACGACATCAGATGATCAAATCGGTAGCGGTAATCACTGCCATGGATATGTATCAACCTTGAGAAACCACAGGAGCCAAAAAGATGCAACGATAACGCGCGACCAAATAAAGAGGTTTGTCAAGCGGTCTACTAACCTCGGGTTCCTCGCGGGACCCTGCGGAGCGTAGGGCGCGCCGGGGGGCGCGACGGCCGCGGACGGCGGACAGCCGGGTCCGACGAGCGCCGAGGCCCCACCGCCGCCCGCGACTGCGCCGCCGGGCGCGACCAGGGCCGACGGGGCGACCCGAGAGGCGGCCGAGGCCGAGGACGAAGACGAGGCCGACGCGCCGGCGGCGTCGTCGTGCGAGAAGAGCGTGGCCGCGGGCGGCTCGTAGTACTCGGTCTTGAGCAGCCGCTCGTCCAGCTTGTTTTCGGCCACGTGCGCCTTGGCCGCCGACCGGAGGTCGATGAAGGACACCGTCGCGCACACGCCGTCCGCATCGCGACGGATCTTCACGCTCTGCACTTTGCCATACCTGAAACACAACAGGGGGAACAAGACGATTAGGCTTTTGCGCTGCGCGTGTACACAAACGTCGAGTCACTGAAGGACACAAGGCCGCTGGAAGTGAACGACAACGAACAGATTACTCTTTTATTTTTACCTACGAACTCTCAGCGAAAGCGAGGCAGTATAGTCCGGAAGACAACACATTAAGGCCGCAAGAGCCGCAGCTAGACTTTTTTTTTTTATCAGTGGGAATACTACTCTTTTTGTTCATTCATGCGTCAGCATGTGTGCGGGAGTAGGTGGTGGTGGTAGTGGTTAGAAGATGAGAAAAGGGACCTAGTTTCTGCAACCCGGTCGGGAGCACGGCGCAGTGTCTAGGAGTACGCGCAAAGACACAATTTAATGCTAACGGGAAAAGGTTTGAACACCCTCCCTCCCTCCCTCTCCCTGCTACGCCAGTAGCGGCCTCCGCTATGCTGCTTCTTATAAAACAAATATATTACGTACAACTTATAAGAAAAAAAATACTAATATAAGTAAAGGGGCATTCATTTATTCATTATTAGTTCGTACGTTCATTCATTCATATCAGCATCATATGCCTTATACAGAAACGTTCCGTGTGCCGTTCCACTAACTCCGTATCACGCAAGTACGCTCGCGCTACTCATGGATACGTATAAAATATATTTGTAAAATTATCCGAGCCTACATGTTTTTCGTGAAATTTGGGGGAAGATGTATCATTTCCGATTGTTATAGCGGCATGCAGACTGCATCTGTAGGGGGGAGTTCCTAAGTTGAAGCGTAAAAATCGCAACTTGGCAGAACACTAAGTTTCACAATCAGAATCCACCTTATTTCAAACACACACGATAGGGCTCCCCCAGGCAAAAAGCTCTGCAAAACAGCTTGACGGGACCTGGGGGCCCAGAGAGGCCGCACATACAGTGGATTTCACACAAAAGTAATTTCTGAGCATAATAAAAACAAAGGAAATACACGAATCACTACATATACAATGAACACCAGAACACTGTTTCAACGTAACGAACAGAACATGGAATATTATTCAGTTTTGGGCAAGAAAAATATATATGGATCATAAATAGCCACGCACACTTCATGTGGAAACAGGCCACTGAAATAAATATGGGTTTTTAAGGAGTAGTAAATTGCATTAGTAAAGTGTATTAGAGTCTTATGGTGGCTGTAATGAGTCGACACGAGGTTTTTTTGTTTGGTTGTTTGCTAATGATGGTGGTGGTGGGGGGGGACATCTTCAAGGAAGAGAGCAAGGCCCCAACCCCCTCGTCGCGAGCATGGTCGCTGACGACGAACACAACGATGAAGGTGGTGCAATCAGCAACTGGAAACTTGCACAGCATATTCGCACAGCGCAAATTGAACGAGGCTGCAGATGAGAGGATACAACACAGGCGCCAACTTCAACTAAATTTTATTAACGAAAACGCTAGAAGCATGTACACGTGGTACGAACACGGCCCCGGTACACATCAGCGGCACTGAAACAACTGAAAAACAAACAAACAGAAGGGCAACGCAACCACACACCAACAGCGTCAATCCACGGAGTCTCTTGTGGTATTGCACGTGATGATATTTGCTCGGCAAAGCATGTTCTCAGATGCACGTGCGATGTAGCAGAGACATTCCCACAGAGAGAAAACGAGGGTGCAGGAGAGGAGGTCTTTGGCAGGGTGAGGAGGTCTCCGGCAGGTTGCCGGACAACTTTCTGGCGAAGGGAAAGCCACGGAGGTGGAGATACTGCTCACGTTACTCCTCCGCGAAGTAGTCCGGCTAGACACGCTTTCCGAATGACGGCCGTGTTCGAATAATATCAGTGACTTACACAGCCATTTGTGAGTGAAATTCGTCACAAGCTCGCTCACCTAAAGGCGAAGACGCCATTTCGACTATATGAGGTGCGACGTTTTCAGGCGTGCAAAACGCGAAATTACACTTCATAATGTATATATATATATATATATATATATATATATATATATATATATATATATATATATATATATAAGGGAAACAATTGTATACTTAAGGGCTCGTTTTTCGTGTTTTCCACAATAATAATGAGATTTAACAGACAACCATGCCAAGGAAGGTATAGGGGAAGTTATTAGGCCAATTGTAATGTAAATGAGAAGAAAGAAAAGTGGGTGAAAAGATAACTTGCCGTGGGCAGTATCCGAACCTGCGACCTTCGAATAACGCGTTCGATGCTCTACCACTGAGCTACCACGACAGCCATCCGCCCAGCCACCTTATTGGGTATCTATGTCAATTAAACATGGGAGTATATATATTCTTGGTTCGTTCAGCGTCTTTTTATAAAACAGCATCCTGCAGGAAATAAAGTAATGCCATTTTTTTTTTTCAAGATTTTGCGCGGGAAACGTAGACGCATTTGTAGGACCGTGCACTTCAGCGGTGTCACACGCCCACTTCGGTTCCGTAGCCTTCCCTTCATTTTTTTTTCTTTTTTAACTACGAGTGGCAAAGCGGAAACCGGGCGGGGCAATTGCCTGCGAATTATGCAAGGCTAGATACGCCGGCGGCTACCTACAACATCCTTATCCTTCCATTTGTTGCCACAGAAAGTTGTCCCCGAGTACAGTACACGAGGAAGGGGGCATGAAGGAATGAAAGAGACAAAAACCCGAAGACTGGACCAAGTCATTCGGAGTACGGCAATGCGCAACTATCACACACACACAAAAAAACATCGTCAACACGCAGTCGCGGTGCGCCGTTCAATCCGCTGCATCTGAAGGATAGCAGCAACGCATCCGCAGCAAATTGTACTGAAGTCTGCGTAGGCCAGTGCTCCAAGCGAGCTCTAAGCACATACTATATACCTCACCCACACTAACGTATACTGCATCATTTCCCCACTCGCCCCACTTCCTTACACCGCGTCGCACAGGGCACGCACACCTTGCGTGCTTCAATTCGAAAGTCATGAACCTTTTGGGCGCAGAGAGCGACGACGAAAACACAGGCGGTGTAGGGTCACCGTACCCCGCAAAGCTCATACATATAACATGTTGGGGAACGCGCCCGTCACAGAGTTGTGGCGCCACGCTGAGCAACGCCAAGGGGCTTCTGGACGGTGAAGTTCGCATTTTCCGAGCGTTATCTAGCTGCAGATTGTGGAGTCGAGCGACGACAAACACCCATGTTGTGCGCATGACGGTGTGTGTGTGTGTGTGTGTGTGTGTGTGTGTGTGTGTGTGTGTGTGTGTGTGTGTGTGTGTGTGTGTGTGTGTGCGTGTGTGTGTGTGTGTGTGCGTGTGTGTGTGTGTGTGTGTGTGTGATGAATTTCAAATACCAACAACAGGACAACCATGGGCACCAGGAATACGTGCTGGGGGTCTCCCGGCACAGTACACTTACGTAAGGGCAGGCGTGTGTGCGATGTGTACTTGCTCGAGGAGAGAGAGAGGGGAGAGAGAGAAAAAAGAAAGAGAGAACGGACTTCTCGCTTTGTACCGTGCGCAGCGGGAGAGCTCGGAGACGGCAGAGATTCTGCACCTCCAGCGCAGAGGCATCGGCGAGGCGATGAAAACATCCGCATTGCTGTTGCTCGGCAGCGCGACTTTTTACGTCACCAGGAAAAAAAGAAAGCCGGGCACGAGCCCCTAGCGAGGACGCCGCCGCTGCAGGACGCAGGCATCCTGGCGTGAAGAACGCCAGAAGAGAGAGAGAGAGAGAGAAAGGAAGAGGACAGAGCAACACACAAGCGAGACGCAGCACGAGAGAACAAAAAGCACGAAATACAAAAAAAAAACACGTGCCACAAAAGAAAGGCTTCTCCCACCCACCCCCACCCCTCTCCCCCCCGAACCACACCCCGTTCGCGTTTACGCTATGTTTTCCTCGTTCCGAGCGCAGAACGAAGCCCAGCAAGGAAGCACGAGGCTGACGGAAGCTGCGCCGCAGCATAAAGGGGCGCTGCTGCTGCCTTCTGTAACGAGACGCCGGTGCACCACCACACAGGGACGGGAGATTGCTTCCGGCGAGGCCCTTCTTCGATGCGCGGCGTACTATTACGCCAATACCCGCCGCCAGATCCGATGCTCAGAAGGGGCACGTCATATTATACCACACGCCGGAACACGCTGCGTCCCCCAAAAGACGACCCCCCCCCCCCCCCACACACACACGCACATCCCCATAAAGGAACAAACAAGCCGCCTTTCATTATACTGAACGGGAACACTCTGCATCCTTTGCTCCTGGAATGGATCAAAACGACGCAGTGTTTTGTTACGACCAAAGAGATCGCGCATCTACGCATGCGTCGTCGTCGCGTGGCGCTGGACCTGTTTCAAGATTGTTTTTTTTTTTTTTTTTTTTGCGAGCACTCGCAAACAGGCTTACCCGGCATGCAAGGCAGTGTTCGACGCGATGCTTAAACTTGCCTTTCGGCGACCTCTGTAGGATACTAACGATATGGTTAGAATGAGCAAGAATGAGCAGATCCGCCGTAGCCCGGTGTTATACGTGATCACGGTGAATAGGAGTAATATGTGTAAACTTGAGGGCTCGTTTCCTTCGTTAGACCTCATTAAACACGGTAAATTCAAACAGCCGTAGATAGGCATACCTAGGTTGGGATTCACCCTTCGACATGTTGCCGTCCCACTTATTTTCTATTACTTTACTATCACTACACTTGAATTGCAGGAAAAAAAGGATAAAAATGATATGAAAGCGCAGTTAGATTAATGATGTCCTTGAATGCAACGCATATTGGTTGTAAGTATTTCTTGGGAAACAATACAGATATCCACTACAAAGGTAGGAATTTCATCCACGTTAAGTTGGAAGTACTGCAGTCAAATGTTGACGGTACTAATAAATATACGTCAATCATGATCTGTACAGAGACGCTGCAAAAGGAGATTCTGTTCTATGGCATAGTAGTAGCAACGAGACCAGCGAATATTTACAATGTTCATATCAGCAAGTACAAAAACAAAAATG